TGATAACAAGTAGTTCTCTGGATTTGGTGAACTGGATATCTCTCAGATGTGCTCTGCTGGAGTCTGCTTTGCATTGTTCCACCCCGTCCGCTTCTTGCCCCCCCCCCCCCCCCCGCCTTTTTTTCTCTTCTCTTTGTCCTCTCTCCCTCTATCACCTATATTCTCCTCTTTGTCTTGTACTGTTCTATTGCTATGCTGTTGTCTCAGGCGGTTGGCCTTCTCCAGTTGTTGTGCGTTGGTCTCTTCTCAGGAGTTCGGTTCCAGAGGTTGATATCTGGAACTCGGCTAACGTGTTGTTTTGGCGGACTTCTATTGCTCGCTATCTCTCGGGACTCGTTGGTCCCTTTATACCAGTTAAATCTATAATGTTTCTTGCAAAGCGGAAAGAGACTCTTTGTTTGTCTGCAGGAGGGTGCAGTCACTTGTATGTATTTCAGTTTGGATGCATACGTGCTAAATGTTGGCTGTATGTTCTCTTTACTGGAAATGTTCTTGGTGTTACTTTGATTCTTGTACCTGTGAAGCTTTTCCATAAATAAAAGAATAAAAAAACCCAAAAAACATAGTGATGTCTATTCGTTGAATGGGCCACTTAACCCTTTCCTGCCCAGCTCCGCTATCCCTTTAACTGGGCTATTACGCCTGGGCTTTGGGAAGGTCTTTCTGATCATTTGAACACTGTGATTGGCTGTCACGGTGGGCACATGATTGTGAGCCTATCCTCCTGATCATCCCTAGAGACTAGGAGCTTTTATATCTTAGTCACTGCGCTCGGCGCAAGCAATTAATGTGCTCTCAGTGTAGGACCCTCGGCTGTCCATGGGCCCTATGTATGGCATGTGGGCATTAAAGCCTGTCTTCTTTGCTGCCTCACATGGGCAGTACAGGGGCAGCAAGAGGCTAACGCAGCAAAATTCACCAAAAAAGGTACATGAGGAATTTTGGACAGCATGACGTCATGTAAGTTGGTGCTGCACTGCAATGCATGTCCACTGCCAAGGTGCATTGGTCACCCAATCAGATGAATGCAACACATATTGTGTACAAAAGTGCACCACAGCGGGTAATACAGACACTGCGATCTTCACACTATCAGTCCCTTCACCTGACCTCTGCGGCTGGCTGAGGGGATCACATCTGGAGCTTCTCATGGAGGCACTACTCACTACTGTCCCTGCACCACCCTCCTTACCACCAACACCCACCACTCCGCTTGTTACCACTGCATCAACCGCTTGTTACCACTGCACCAACACCCACCGCTCCGCTTGTTACCACTGCACCACCACCCACCACTCCGCTTGTTACCACTGCACCAACACCCACCACTCCGCTTGTTACCACTGCACCCGACACCCTCCCCACTCCGCTTGTTACCACTGCACCGACACCCACCACTCCGCTTGTTACCACTGCACCGACACCCACCACTCCGCTTGTTACCACTTCACCACCGACACCCACCACTCCGCTTGTTACCACTGCACCGACACCCACCACTCCGCTTGTTACCACTTCACCGACACCCACCACTCTCGCTTGTTACCACTGCACCGACACCACCACTCCGCTTGTTACCACTGCACCGACACCCACCACTCTGCTTGTTACCACTGCACCGACACCCACCACCACTCCGCTTGTTACCACTGCACCGACCGACACCCACCACTCTGCTTGTTACCACTTCACCGACACCCACCACTCTGCTTGTTACCACTGCACCGACACCCACCACTCCGCTTGTTACCACTGCACCGACACCCACCACCACTCTGCTTGTTGTTACCACTGCACCGACACCCACCACTCCGCTTGTTACCACTGCACCGACACCCACCACTCCGCTTGTTACCACTGCACCGACACCACACCCCACTCCGCTTGTTACCACTGCACCACACCCACCCTCCGTGGTGCCTTTAAATATCTTTAGAATTTAGGACTCTGAGGTTGTAAATTGCAGAGTACGGGTATTCTGGCAGCACTGGGCACCATGGCTGCTATGTACAGCAAGGTCCTGAAGGGGTGTTACCAGGATATTTGAAGTTAGTTCACTTTTTTTTTCTTTCTTGTAAAAAAAAAATGAACTTACCCTTTTAGCATTGTCTTGAATACCACTCTGCTTGTTTCCACTAACTTGTCAGCATCTTGCTAATGTTCAGCACATTGGACAGCTCCTTGGTCATTTTCGGCACCCGGACATTGCCTCAGTAATATTTAGCACTGCTAACAGCTCCTTAGTAAGAGTCAGCACTGTGGACAGTGACAGTGACCCTGGTTCTATTCAGCACCATGGGCCACTTCTTAGTAATATTCACCACTGTGGACAGACTCTTCATAATATTCATTCAGGGCCCTTTGAACATACAGCCCCTGTAGATGGAGCCTTAGTAATATTCAGCACCATGAACAGAGCTGTGGTAACATTTGGCACCGTGGACAGAGCCATAGTAGCGTTCAGCACCGTGGACAGAGCTATAGTAGCGTTCAGCACCATGGACAGAGCTATAGTAGTGTTCAGCACCGTGGACAGAGCCATAGTAGCGTTCAGCACCGTGGACAGAGCCACAGTAGCGTTCAGCACCGTGGACAGAGCTACAGTAGCGTTCAGCACCGTGGACAGAGCTATAGTAGCGTTCAGCACCGTGGACAGAGCTATAGTAGCATTCAGCACCGTGGACAGAGCTACAGTAGCGTTCAGCACCGTGGACAGAGCCATAGTAGCGTTCAGCACCGTGGACAGAGCTATAGTAGTGTTCAGCACCGTGGACAGAGCTATAGTAGCGTTCAGCACCGTGGACAGAGCTATAGTAGCGTTCAGCACCGTGGACAGAGCTATAGTAGCGTTCAGCACCGTGGACAGAGCTATGGTAGCCTTCAGCACCGAAGACAGAGTCCTGGTATAATTCAGCATTGCGTTTAGAGCCTTAGCAATATTCAGCACCATGGTTGGTGTTGGTAATATTCTGCACCTGAGCAGCACTTCGGTAATAATTACCACCTGGACAGTGGCACAGTAATATTTGCCACCAGGGACAGTGTCTTGGCAATACTAAGCACCATGGGCAGCGCCTTGGAAATATTCCGCTCCATAAGCAATGCCTTGGTAGTATTTAGCACCCTGGAGAGAGCTTAGTAATGTTCAGCACCATGGTCAGTGTTGGTAATAGTCAGCATCCTGGACAGAGCCTCGGTAGTGTTCATCACCATAGACGGCGCCTCGGTAGTGTTCATCACCCTGGACAGAGCCTCGGTAGTGTTCATCACCATAGACAGAGCCTCGGTAGTGTTCATCACCCTGGACAGAGCCTCGGTAGTGTTCCCCACCCTGGACAGAACCTCGGTAGTGTTCATCACCCTGGACAGAACCTCGGTAGTGTTCATCACCCTGGACAGAACCTCGGTAGTGTTCATCACCCTGGACAGAGCCTCGGTAGTGTTCCCCACCCTGGACAGAACCTCGGTAGTGTTCCCCACCCTGGACAGAACCTCGGTAGTGTTCATCACCCTGGACAGAGCCTCGGTAGTGTTCATCACCCTGGACAGAGCCTCGGTAGTGTTCATCACCATAGACAGAGCCTCGGTAGTGTTCATCACCATAGACAGAGCCTCGGTAGTGTTCATCACCATAGACAGAGCCTCGGTAGTGTTCATCACCCTGGACAGAGCCTCGGTAGTGTTCATCACCCTGGACAGAGCCTCGGTAGTGTTCATCACCCTGGACAGAACCTCGGTACGACACACCATGGACAGAACCTCGGTAGTGTTCACCAACATGGACAGAGCCTCGGTAGTGTTCACCACCATGGTTAGAACCTCAGTAGTGTTCAGCACCATAGACAGAGCCTCGGTAGTGTTCACCACCCTGGGCAGAGCCTCGGTAGTGTTCACCACCCTGGACAGAGCCTCGGTAGTGTTCACCACCCTGGACAGAGCCTCGGTAGTGTTCACCACCCTGGACAGAGCCTCGGTAGTGTTCATCACCCTGGACAGAGCCTCGGTAGTGTTCATCACCCTGGACAGAGCCTTGGTAGTGTTCACCACCCTGGACAGAGCCTCGGTAGTGTTCATCACCCTGGACAGAGCCTCGGTAGTGTTCACCACCCTGGACAGAGCCTCGGTAGTGTTCACCACCCTGGACAGAGCCTCGGTAGTGTTCATCACCCTGGACAGAGCCTCGGTAGTGTTCATCACCCTGGACAGAGCCTCGGTAGTGTTCACCACCCTGGACAGAGCCTCGGTAGTGTTCATCACCCTGGACAGAGCCTCGGTAGTGTTCACCACCCTGGACAGAGCCTCGGTAGTGTTCACCACCCTGGACAGAGCCTTGGTAGTGTTCATCACCCTGGACAGAGCCTCGGTAGTGTTCATCACCCTGGACAGAGCCTCGGTAGTGTTCATCACCCTGGGCAGAGCCTCGGTAGTGTTCATCACCCTGGACAGAGCCTCGGTAGTGTTCATCACCCTGGACAGAGCCTCGGTAGTGTTCACCACCCGAGCAGCACTTCGGTAACAATTACCACCCGGACATTGGCACAATGATTCTCAGCACCCGGCAGCACTTCGGTAATCTTTAGCCCGCCTCCTTTTAACAGACTTTCCACCGAATATGTGAATCCGCTTACTAACAAGACATTTGTATTCAATACAGTTCAGTCGTTCCTTCTGACCTTTCCCCCTAATTATATTCCCTCTCCTGTATAATGTAAGTCAGGTTTCTGCTCTGGATTCCCCGAGAAGTCAATTCAACATGCATTTCCTTCACCTTAGGAATGTTTGTACCTCGGTTGCCTTGTTGCTTCTTGGTTGAACAACACACTGTAGGGGCACTTCCCACCCTGCCGTATGTACAGAAATCCCACTATGTTTTAGGGCTCGTGTACACCATACATGCCTGGAAACTGATCTGCAGATTTCACTTGCAGAGACATCAGTTTTCATCAGTTTTCATGCTTTATACACGTTGCAGATTCCTGCGCATAAAAAATTTGAACGCGTTAGTAGTGTTGTGAACAGGGAACATAGAGAACTGATGTCTCTGCACCACGGTGTGAACGAGCTTCACGGTGCCCACAATCTTAACTCTTTCTGTGTATTTACACCGTTACCTCGAGCAGAGTCTGCAGACCTGACAACTATAAACTGTTATGAAACCTCGGACCCCGCATTCACTATATGTGGTCTCCCCGGACCCCGCGTTCACTATATGTGGTCTCCCCGGACCCCGCATTCACTATATGTGGTCTCCCCGGACCCCGCGTTCACTATATCCGCTCTCCCCGGACCCCCGCATTCACTATATGTGGTCTCCCCGGACCCCACATTCACTATATCCGCTCTCCCCGGACCCCGCGTTCACTATATGTGGTCTCCCCGGACCCCACATTCACTATATCCGCTCTCCCCGGACCCCGCATTCACTATATCCGCTCTCCCCGGACCCCGCATTCACTATATTCGCTCTCCCCGGACCCCGCATTCACTATATCCGCTCTCCCCCGGACCCCGCATTCACTATATGTGGTCTCCCCGGACCCCGCATTCACTATATCCGCTCTCCCCGGACCCTGCATTCACTATATCCGCTCTCCCCCGGACCCCGCATTCACTATATCCGCTCTCCCCGGACCCCGCATTCACTATATGTGGTCTCCCCGACCCCGCATTCACTATATCCGCTCTCCCCGGACCCCGCATTCACTATATGTGGTCTCCCCGGACCCCGCATTCACTATATCCGCTCTCCCCTTACCCTCCATTCACTGTATCCACTCTCCCCGGACCCCGCATTCACTATATCCGCTCTCCCCGGACCACGCATTCACTATATCCGCTCTCCCCGGACCCCGCATTCACTATATCCGCTCTCCCCGGACCCCGCATTCACTATATCCGCTCTCCCCGGACCCCGCATTCACTATATCCGCTCTCCCCGGACCCCGCATTCACTATATCCGCTCTCCCCGGACCCCGCATTCACTATATCCGCTCTCCCCGGACCCCGCATTCACTATATCCGCTCTCCCCGGACCCCGCATTCACTATATCCGCTCTCCCCGGACCCCCGCATTCACTATATCCGCTCTCCCCGGACCCCGCATTCACTATATCCGCTCTCCCCGGACCCTGCATTCACTATATCCGCTCTCTCCCCGGACCCCGCATTCACTATATCCGCTCTCCCCGGACCCCGCATTCACTATATCCGCTCTCCCCGGACCACGCATTCACTATATCCGCTCTCCCCGGACTCTGCATTCACTATATCCGCTCTCCCCGGACCCCGCATTCACTATATCCGCTCTCCCCGGACCCCGCATTCACTATATGCGCTCTCCCCGGACCCCGCATTCACTATATCCGCTCTCCCCGGACCCCGCATTCACTATATCTGCTCTCCCCGGACCCCGCATTCACTGTATCCGCTCAGCTCAGCATCGGTACCAGTCAGATGTGTCTTTACATCTTCTCAATAAATGCAAAGTATTCTCTGATTGGATGATGTGGAGAGGAGGGGCGGAGATGTCACACTCTCTACCTTGTCCAATCAGACAACGCTTTGCTTTCAAGTGTAAAGGACCTTGTTGGCTGCCAAAAAGGTTAGGAATAAGGGAAGTATTTTTGTCCTTTTTTTCCTGTCCCCCCCCCCCCCCCCCGTTCCCCCCTCGGGGTGAATACGCATATCGTTTAGCTCCGCCCCATGGCAGAAATACTGCTACAGGGCGGCCGCTGTGTGCAAAATCATATTATATATATACGTGATTTGGCATTTCCGGGGCCCTCCCCGCACCGCCATTTGCATCTGTGGCTATCAGTCACCGGGTCCTGGCTGATGATTACTCGCCGGTGCCCAGTGATTGCCGATCTCCGACGGGGGAGAACTGTTAGTAAACAACACAAATCTCTCCCCTGTCAGCTCCTGCACAGCACAGCCATCCAAAGCAGTGTGCTTACAGTGAAGTACACAGACACAGAACATGATATAAAACGGCACACAGTTAACCCCTTGATCGCCCTCATATTATCCCCTTCCTTCCCAGTGCCATTAGTACAGTGTCAGGGCTTTTTATTAGCACTGATCACTGTATTGGTGTCACTGGGATGTCCGTGACACCAAGTCAGTTGCCCCCAAAGTGTCAGAATGCCCGCCGCAGTCCCGCTATAAGTTGCTAGTAAAAAATAAAAAAATCCCATTATCTATCCCACCATTTGTAGACGCGATAACTTTCACATACACCAATTCATTTCCCATGTATAGGGATTGTTTTCAGCGAAGACATGGAGCGGGAGACACAGAAGACACGGAGCGGGAGACACAGAAGACACGGAGCGGGAGACACAGAAGACACGGAGTGGGAGACACAGAAGACACGTAGAGGGAGACATGGAGTGGGAGACACTGAAGACACGGAGCAGGAGACACTGAAGACACGTAGAGGGAGACACGGAGTGGGAGACACTGAAGACACGAGCAGGAGACACTGAAGACATGTAGAGGGAGACACGGAGCGGGAGACACAGAAGACACAGAGCGGGAGACACTGAAGACACGGAGCGGGAGATACTGAAGACACGTAGAGGGAGACACGGAGTGGGAGACACTGAAGACACGTAGAAGGAGACACTGAAGACACGGAGTGGTTGGGAGACACTGAAGACACGGAGCAGGAGACACTGAAGACACGTAGAGGGAGACACGGAAGACATGGAGCGAAGGAGACACGGAAGACACATAGAGGGAGACACGGACATGGAGCGGGAGACACAGAAGACACGGAGCGGGAGACACTGAAGACACAGGAGCGGGAGACACTGAAGACACGGAGCGGGAGACACTGAAGACACGTAGAGGGGGAGACACGGAGCGGGAGACACTGAAGACACGGAGCGGGAGACACTGAAGACACGGAGCTGGAGACACGGAAGACACGGAGCGGGGAGACACTGAAGACACGTAGAGGGAGACACGGAAGACATGAGCGGGAGACACGGAAGACACGGAGCCGGAGACACGGAAGACACGGAGCGGGAGACATGGAAGACACGGAGTGGGAGACATTTTGTCTGAAATTTATGACAAAATTTTTTTTACATTTTTTTTTACTGGACGTGTTTAAAAGCAAAAAGTAAAAAAAAAAATTGTTTTTTTTTCTCAAAATTGTCTTTTGTTTTTTGTTTATGGCACAAAAAATAAAAAGCACACAGGTAATCAAATGCCACTGAAGGAAAGCTCTATTCGTGTGGAAAAAAGGATGTAAATTTCATTTGGGTGCGGTGTTGCATGACCGCGCAATTGTCAGTTAAAGTAACACAGCGTTATATCGCAAAAAATGTCCGGAGGGGGAAATCCTCTGGAGGGGGAGGGGTTAACACACATGGGGGTTGGACCTGACAACAGGGTGAAATTAACATCAGCCCATATTTGGGCTTGAGCCCGGGGTTCACATACATGCGGTGCGGGGTGTCACGTGTGATTCGCGCAGGAACCACGCCACATTCCTATGCCAATCACATGTGATGTGTGTGCGGTGCGATCGGAGGCGTACATTGTGTACGGTTCTAACCGCACCAGAAAGGTGCAGGGCCCTTTTTTGGGTCCGCACCGGAATCGGATCACATGGGTATTTATGTGATCCGATTCTGCACGTCGCACTGCGTTTTGCGGACCGATTTCAGGGCATTGCTAACTTAACATACACACCCGCCGCGGTTCGCATGAATGGGGTGCGATTCTGATGTGGTGCAGTGATTCGCTTAGGACCCTTTTTTGGGTCCGCCCTGGAATCGGATCGCATGGGTATTCACACCTAAGTGATCCGATTCAGTGATTGGAGCCGCACATTGTGTACGGTTCTATTCGCACCGCACCAGAAAGGCGCAGGACCCTTTTTTGGGTCCGCGCTAGAATCGGATCACACGAGAATTCACACCCATGCAATCCGATTCTTCACATTCCATCGCGTTTTTCGGGGCGTTGTTAACTTCACATACACACCCGCAGCGGTTCGCATGAACAGGGTGCGATTCTGATGCGGCGCTGTGATTCGCACTGAAAATGCAGAGAATTCAGGACCGCATCGGTGTGAACCCGGGTTGTAAGTCGATGAGGCGGAGCCGAGCTAATCGCATCGTCACTTCTGGAGATTGGAAGGAAATGTGGAGAACACACAACCGCTGAAACAAACACCAGATGGCCGGGACTGAGCGGCTCCGTAATATCTGGCAAATGGGACGAGGATTGATGTCTTCACCCGCCGCGATCCGAGCCAAGGAGTCTCTGGACCAACGCAGAATGGAAAGACGTCGTCTTACAGAACACAATGGCAGCAGATGGTATTGTACATAATATCCACATAACAAGCAGCTGCTTCCTGTCCGAATCCGAACCCAACCGAAGGATTTGTCATCACCGCCACCACGTATCCTATCCACCGACACGGGCCAATGGGCTGCGACCTCGCAACTTTGTATCTTCTCACCAATGTCACTGTATCCGAACCAAATCTGAATACTTCAGCATTAGACGGGCGCAACATGGAAACGTTTGTTTTGTTTCGATTCGTTATTTGACTCATTTTGTTTCACTTGATGAGTTAAATTCATTCAATTCATTTTCCGGAATGCACTTAGTTTATTCGAAGTTAATCGAATTCGAAATTTCGTGTGGGTTCAAAAATCATTCCAACGGATTCGGAAAATAACTTTCACGGGTTCAAAAATAATTCGGATAGATTCAGAAACAACTCTAAAGCACTCAAAATAATTCAGACAGATTCAAAAACAACTCTAAAGGGTTCAAAAATAATTCAGACAGATTCAAAAACAACTCTAAAGGGTTCAAAAATAATTTGGACGGATTAGAAAATAATCCTAGCGTTGCAATCCATGTGTGTTTTTGATGGTTTTTGGCTATTCCCCCCCCCCCCCCCGTCCCCCCCCCCTCCCCTCCTGACCCGCCCATTTTTTGCATTACGGCATTGCGTTACTTTAATTGACAATTGCGCGGTTTACACGGTCGTGCAGCTCTGCACCCAGATGACATTTGTGTCCTTTTCTTCCCACAAATAAATCTTTCTTTCGGTGGTATTGGATCCTCTGTGCGCTTTCTAAAGTTTTTGCGCTATAAGCAAAAAAAGACCGAAAATTTTGAGAAAAAAAACAATATTTTGAACTTTTTGCTATAAAAGCACGTCCAGTAAAAAAATTTAAAAAATCAAATTTCGTCATAAATTTTGGCCAAAATGTCTTCCGCTCCGTGTCTTCCATGTCTCCCGCTCCGTGTCTTCCGTGTCTCCCGCTCCGTGTCTTCCGTGTCTCCCTCTACCTGTCTTCAGTGTCTCCCGCTCCGTGTCTTCCGTGTTTCCCGCTCTGTGTCTTCTGTGTCTCCCGCTCCGTGTCTTCCATGTCTCCCGCTCTGTGTCTTCCGTGTCTCCCGCTCTGTGTCTTCTGTGTCTCCCTCTATGTGTCTTCCGTGTCTCCTGCTCCGTGTCTTCTGTGTCTCCCTCTACGTGTCTTCCGTGTCTTCCGCTCCATGTCTTCCGTGTCTCCTGCTCTGTGTCTTCAGTGTCTTCCGTGTCTCCCTCTACGTGTCTTCAGTGT